TGGTGCTGCTCTTCTCTCTAGTAATTTGGCTCATAGTCTTAGAGCTAAAACATGACAATCTGGGGCTCAGGTCAGGAAGCAGACAGACTGGCTAAACCGACCGTCTGCTAGCGGCCTCGCGTCACCAAGGTCAGATAAATCCCATCACATAGAGCCTCTTTCACCTAGATATCATCATATAGAGACTGTGTCTGTTCCCCGAATTTGGAAATCCAAAAAACGTCAGGTTAAAAATTGAATTGATGTTCAACAAATAAAAAACAGATTTAATACAGATGAGCAAATGATAAAGCTTGGGTTGCTGAATATTCGATCCCTTACTTCAAAATCTCTCATAGTTAACAATTTGATTTCAGATTATAATCTTGATATGCTGTGTTTGACAGAAACCTGGCTAAAACCAAACGATTACATTATTTTAAATGAGTCAACCCCACAAGATTACAGTTATAAAAATGAACCTCGTCTGAAAGGCAAAGGGGGAGGTGTTGCTGTAATTTATAGTAATATTTTCAAAACCACTAAGAAATGTAGCTTTAAATATACTTCTTTTGAAGTATTGGTGCTTAATGTAAAAATGTATAGTGTAAACGATAAATCACATTTGAGAATTCTGCTGGCTACTGTGTACAGGCCACCAGGGCACCATAAAGATTTTATCAAAGAATTTGCGGACTTTCTATCAGATTTACTATTGGCTGCAGATAAAGTACTAATTGTTGGTGATTTTAATATACATGTAGATAATGAAAAAGATGCTTTGGGATTGGCATTTAAAGACATTGTAAACTCAATTGGAGTTAGACAACACGTGTCGGGACCTACTCATTGTCGTAATCATACTCTAGATCTAATATTATCACATGGAATAGATGTTGATGCTGTTGAAATTCTGCAGCAGAGCGATGACATCTCAGATCATTATCTAGTCTCATGTAAATTACATTTAGCCAAGGCTGCAAAGCCGACTCCGTGTTATAAATACGTTAGACCTATAACTTCTGCCACTAAAGATTGCTTTATCAATAATCTTCCTACTCAGTTTCATCATCTCAGCATCCCGGATAGCTTAGAAGAACTTGATATTGCAACAGAAACGTTTAACTCTCTCTTTTCCAGCACTTTAGACGCAGTTGCTCCGTTGCGCTTAAAGAAGATTAAAGAAAATAGTCCAATGCCGTGGTACAGCGAGCACACTCAGGCCCTTAAGAGAGCAGCCAGAAAAATGGAGCGCAACTGGAAGAAAACTAAACTAGAGGTATTTCGGATTTCGTGGAAAGAGAGCTCGATTGCTTACAGAGAGGCTTTAAAAGCTGCTAGATCTGCTTATTTTTCAAACCTATTAGAAGAAAATAAACATAATCCTAGGTATTTATTTGAAACAGTGGCTAAACTAACGAAAAAGAAAGCTTCAAGCTCAGAAGTGTCAAAGCAACACAGCAGTGATGACTTTATGAACTTCTTCACTTATAAGATTGATAATATTAGGGACAAAATTATAACTATGCAACCGTCTACCACAGTATCGCATCAGGAAGTGCATTGTAGTCTCCCTGAGGAAAAATTTGATTTATTTGTTGCTATAGGAGAGTAAGAATTCTGCAAACTCGTAAATTCATCTAAATCGACAACTTGTATGTTAGATCCTATACCGACTAAGCTACTGAAAGAGATGTTTCCAGAGGTCATATATCCTCTTCTTAATATCATTAAGTACCAAAAACCTTTAAACTGGCTATGATAAAACCGCTTGTTAAAAAACCACAACTTAAACCTACAGAATTAGTCAATTACAGGCCGATCTCGAATCTGCCTTTTCTGTCAAAGATATTAGAAAAAGCAGTATCTTCACAACTATGTTCCTTTCTAGAAAGAAATGATATCTGCGAGGATTTTCAGTCCGGATTTAGACCGTACCATAGCACTGAGACCGCTCTCATTAGAGTCACAAATGATTTGCTCTTATCATCCGATCGTGGTTGTATCTCTCTATTAGTGTTACTCGATCTTAGTGCTGCATTTGATACTATTGACCACAACATTCTTTTAAATAGACTAGAAAACTATGTTGGCATTAGTGGAATTGCATTAGCATGGTTTAAATCATACTTAACTGACCGTTATCAGTTTGTAGCAGTAAATGAAGAGATGTCTTATCGATCACAATTTCAGTATGGCGTACCACAAGGCTCAGTACTAGGACCGCTGCTGTTCACTCTGTACATGCTACCATTAGGAGATATCATTAGGAAACATGGAGTTAGCTTTCACTGTTATGCCGATGATACTCAGCTGTATATTTCTTCAAAACCCAACGAAACTTACCAACTCACAAAATTAACGGAATGCATAGCTGATATAAAAAATTGGATGACTAGTAATTTCCTACTACTAAATTCTGAAAAGACAGAGATTCTAATTATTGGACAAAAAACTTCCACACGTAATAACCCAGAATACTGTCTAACACTTAATGGCTGCTCTGTCAAGTCTTCGTTGTCGGTTAGGAACCTGGGTGTGCTATTTGATACCAACCTTTCTTTTGAAAGCCACGTGTCTAGTATCTGTAAAACTGCATTTTTCCATCTTAAAAATATATCTAAAATACGACATATGCTCTCACTGGGAAATGCGGAACAATTAGTCCATGCGTTCATGACCTCAAGGCTAGATTATTGTAATGCTCTACTGGGTGGTTGCCCTGCACGCTTAATAAACAAACTACAGCTAGTTCAAAACGCCGCAGCTCGAGTTCCTACCAGAACCAGGAAATATGACCATATTAGCCCGGTTCTGTCAACACTGCATTGGCTCCCTATTAAACATCGTATAAATTTTAAAATATTGTTGATTACCTACAAAGCACTAAATGGTTTAGCTCCGCAGTACTTGAGCGAGCTCTTAACGCATTATAGTCCTTCATGTCTATTGCGATCTCAAAATTCCGGCCAGTTGATAATACCTAGAATATCTAAATCGACTGCAGGCGGTAGATCCTTTTCCTATTTAGCACCAAAACTTTGGAACAGTCTTCCTACCATTGTCCGGGAAGCAGACACACTCTGTCAGTTCAAAGCTAGACTAAAAACACATCTCTTTGACCTAGCATACACATAATACATTATAGACTTCTATAAATTCAATGTTAGGCTGCATAGATTAGGTCAGCCGGAACTGGGAACACTTCCCTTAAATCTTGATGTACTCGCTACATCATAAGAAGAATGGCATCTACGCTAATATCAGTGTCTTTGTTTATCCAGAGGTTTTCCCGGATCCAGGCAGTGTCCAGATCTGATGAGGGAGCTTTGCCTAGACCCGATGACAATGCAGTGCTGAAGTATCCACTATCCTCTCCCTATGGAGGATCCCTTTCCCACTCTACAGATAAAGCGTTGTGAATTCCGGCTCGCGTACCCCGAAGTGATAAAATAAAACAAAATTCTGTATCAAATTTATAGGCAAGAAAAGTAGTTTTTTTAGGCTGGGTTGTATGAATTACAAACCTGCGCACATATTTTAAAAAGCACATAACTATAGAATTCTGAATGAGCATGTGAACGCCGTCAGCGTTAATCACAGGTTCGCATTTAAAGTCTGATCATTTCGACGGAGGTGAATCAATCAAAGTTAACTTTAGCTGGAAGTAACATTATTCAAGAACCGCTATAACGCCAAAACAATCTGTTACCTTAAATGATATGTTTATCTCTGTAAAGCTGCTTTGAAACAATCCATTGTTAAAAGCGCTATATAAATGAAGATGACTTGACTTGACTTGACTTCTTGTCTTGGATCAAGACTTCATGGATGTTCCTGTTTTTGCCTGTGGAATCATTTCATTAAAGTGTGCGTGCAATTGGATTCTGTCTCTGCCTTGTCTATAAGCAACCATTACAGTACAAAACTTGGTGACTTTTATGGCACTTGGTATGGACACACAAAACATTGAGGGCATGATTTGAAGAGACTGACTGGTTGTACAAAACAAGTCACACTTGTGGTCTTCGGGGTCAAAAGTGACCGCCATAGGAAATTAATGGGAAATGGGCAATAAATACAAAAATCTGTATGGTTCATTAACCCTCTGGGCCCTGTGGGTATTTTGGGGCCCTGAAGAACTTTTGACATGCCTTGACATTTGTGCTTTTTTCAGTTGCTTAAAAAATTATTTTGATTAAAGGATTATTTGTAGCACAGCCTTATTATTTGATATGATTTGTTTCAGTTCTTTTGAGTGGCAGTTCCCAAAACCAGCACCCATATTTAAAAAATGCTTGTTCGGAAAAACGTGGATATTTAAAGTAGTGTCCATATGTTGTTCTCGCCAATTGAAACAAAACTGGCCACTTGAATTCTCTGAGACAAAACTTGTGCAGGTCAGTTTTGATACAGGGATGTTTTGGTTGACATTTGCCCACGGACAGATACAACATACACTGGGTGACATAAAAATGACGGTTTATTGTATTTTGGTAGTCTTTTACATAGTCAAACATATCAAACATTTATAAAAATTACCATTTTAAAAAAAAGTTCTGAACAGCCTTATGCTGCTTTACAATATATATTTACTGACCCCTGAAAAATGTTTCACTGTCGAAACCAGCTATGAGTCCATTTCTGAGAAAGTTGTAACCCACTGCCCATTTTTGGGTACCAAACCAGAGCTGTCAATAGAAAAAGCCCAGCACCGCAACTGTAGTATATATTTCTTTTTTTACCATTTAATTACTGCTACTGCTCAAAGGAAATGTGCTTCAGTTATTGTATAGCTAAATACAAATGTTTTGAAAGAAAAATGAAATTTTTTACAAATATAAGACTCTTTTACATAACATTAATTTCATACACATATGCATTATTGCTTGGAATGTGTGTTTGGTCTTTGTATTTAAATGCACTGCAAATGAAAACCACAAACTTTTAAACAGAACTTACTAATCAGACTTATTATTCGTTTACAAGTGAATAAAAAGAGGGAAAAAAAAATGCAAAAATACTCTGATCTATCCTATAAACACCCTCCCAAAACATACATTGTAGTTCACCTGATGCCAAAAGTGATTTATGAATTGTCTTTTACAGTACTGAACATTTCAGGATACTAGAAAAACATATGCCCTTCTGTCTTGGCTGATTTCTGAATTTAATAGGTGGTTCCTGTATATCTGCTCTTTCCTAACATAGCTTTGAGTTGTTTTGCATAAACTGCACTGGAATGGCCTCAGGGCAACCAGAACTGCATAGTATCGGCAAATAATAGTCTTTACAGAACACACACACTGAATGCATACATGCAGTAACATATTACAAATATGCACACACAAAAAAAAAAGAAGAGGGAAAAAATAAGAAATTCATGTATAGTGCACTACAAATACAAGAGAAGTAAACTCAAGGGCATTAAAACCAGTTTTTCAAGCATTAATTTGCATATTCTCCATGACCTAACATGTTGACAACATGATACTCTAATGATTGGCATGCATGAGCATAGAAATTGCTTTTCAAGACTTTTTACGGCTTTCTAAACCCTCTAACATTTTCACAACTGTACACGTACTCTATGAGTGTTGCATTGTGTTGTTACTTGATACTTTGTGTTGTCACAACCTTTCTCTCCTGGACAACAACTTTATGTGACGATGGATTTTGGTTAATCTGGACAGATGACCCACCGAATCCAGCGTTACCAATAAAGGACTCTGTTGCGGACGCCATGCCCATTTGATGACCCCCCTGGGCCATACCTGATCCCCCTTTATTCTCCATATAATAGACATTTTGAGATCCACCATGAGTGGAAACACCTTTTTTGAGGGACCCCTGAATCACGTGGCCCCCTTGTCCTTCCATGACCATCAGGCCCTGAGATCCAGCAAGCCCTCTCTGAAGTGTCCCCTGAAGGACTTGACCGCTTGAGGCTCCCCCATCCACCAAAAACAATTGTGATCCAGAGAGATTACTTGAGTGCAGCATTCCGGTGTTGAGAGCCTGAGCAGGACCACCCCTGTCCACAAGCACCATTCTCTCACCACGATTCAGGGTATTCGCCGCTATGTTGGTGCCCTGGACTACAACCCCCTCGGCTACTGGGCCGCTGTTCAGCACGTACATGTTCTGTCCGACTCCCATGGTGGGCCTTTCAGCGAGCAGTACCGTGCTGGGCTGCGGCTCGACCATGTAGTACATTTGCTGCGGTTGCATCAGGTACGTTGGAGCCGGCTGGACACTCGTAATCACTGTGGGCCGGTTGTCTGTCACAAGCACGTTCTCCACACGAGAAGATGATGTCGCAGCCATGTTGGAAGTTATATTCATTGAATTTGTAGATAGATCTCGGTTAGTGGCTATATTCGCTGTATTTATAACATTGGTTGATGAAGACGCCACCTCGGTACGGTCCACGACGGGTTTTGGAGGGGGGGGAAGAGGAGCGGGGACCTCAGTCTTCCTACCTCCGCATATTTCAGCGAGTGTGGTGAACTTTGGCCCCAGGTCATTCAGAAACTCTAGGTCATTGTTTTCTTCGAGAATGCTGCAGCAGCCGACAGATCCAACAGGGGAGCCCTTCCCCTCATAACCATACACCATGGGTTCATTCCTAGCAAATCCATCCTCCAATCCTCTGCATTTCTGTAACACACATAGAGCGATACATATATGTGATCCACATGGATAGATTAGACAGAGATAGATAGACAGACAGATAGAAAACAGGTAGATTGATTGTTCATATACACATTATCCTGTAGGTATATATTACCTGTCCATAGTATTCATCCAGGAACATTTCTGACACGGCCATTCCGTCAAAATCTCCAGCCATTTCACTGCTAATAAGGGTCTCATTTCTCCTCATTGAGTCTACGTAGTCCATATTCATTTCATTGTAGCCACGAACACCAGCTATGGAATTGGAATCCATGTAGCCTCCTGTTGTTGCTTGATCACCTTGAAAGTCCATACCACCCACATTTTTGGATGTCATCGGACCACGAAAATTGTTAGGGGCCGGTAACGGAACATCCTGTCAGAGACAAAATTGTTTGATTTATTTAGCTTTATGACAAAAATAAAATCTCAATCCTGATAGCATAGCACACCTGTTACGTAAATCAATAAGATGTTCAAATTTCTTACCCTGTCCTCTCCCTGGCCCTCAGTATGGTAAGAGATGAGATGCTCTTTAGTGTCATAGGGCATGTTTGTAAAATCTCCTAACATCCCAGGAGTTCCACACTTACAGAGCAGCAACAGGAGTGGGATGACTGTAACAGAGGAGAAATACAGCATTTATTTCAGCACCATAATAACTATAAATCATAATCTCTCAGAGAACTTGGTTACTTACGCAATAATGAAAGCAGTCCAAGGAAGAGCAGGCCGATTCCAGCAGGTCCAAATTTTGACCCCTTCTTAACCGTTCCCATTCCAGTTCGGTCACAACCCCCCTGGGTTGTACAGGTACACACTTCCACCACTATTTTCTGAGGTTCTGGACATCCCAACCCCTGCTGGTCCTTAACATCCACCATCAGGTCATGTTCTCCCGGCCACAGCTTTTGCTGGATCCTGAAGATGGCAGTGGTATCTGATGAGGAGAAGAAGTTGCAATTCACTGCCATTATAAAGCTCGGAAGCGTCAGGGTGTTTACTAATATAACTCTGATTGTATTCATATGAAAGAAGAAAGTAATATACACCTAGGATGGCTTGAGGATGAGTAAATGTAACTGATGGGCTAACTTTCATTTTAAAGTGAACTACTCCTTTAAAGGTGCTCTATGTAGCTTTTCTTCTAAAAATGAATCCTTTTTTATTGCCTGTGTGTGAAGGGGTTGTAATCACACATTACAATGATCCACTTGTCGGGTTTTGCTATTACCTCTGAAGGCCAATATTCATATTTATATGTGAAGTGTCCGGGTCGGATTTTCTGCGAAATCCATCGGATGTGACGTGCATATGCGCTCCCGAGCCTCTCTCCTTATATACAGTCTATGCGACGGCACTGCAGCTAACGACATGGAGTCTGATAACACCAACAAACGACCTGCCTCCAGCACAACACACACTCCAACACTAACTCCACATAAATATAAAAAACAAAAAAAAGTTTTATCTGCTGAAGCTCGTCAGGCCAAACGTGATTCTGATCGACTCAGGACGAAAACACGGATCAACATCGGCAGAGCTTTTGAATAGGTAAACCCTAATGAAATAGCAAGGTAAACTACATGAGACATGAAATGAATACAAAAGACTGTTCCAGGATAACAAAAAGTAGGTGCTTTAGGATGTAACTTTTATTTTATGTACTAGATCTACTGTCTAACGTCACTCATCCCACTACTATCATATTGTTTATAATGTTCAGTACAGTAATGTTACTTCCTACTGTCTTACTGTTACACTGAAATTGTTCAGTCTGGTTCACTAACCGTTTTCGTCATCATATTACACATTCACCTATGTTGACATTGCTGATTGTGAAAGATACACGAATAGTTAGTGAAATGCCTTATGCTAGATAACACCACATGTCGGCTAAATGCAGTCAATGTAACGTTATCATGGTACGAGCATGGAGCATTAGTTCAACGTCAAGCTGATAAAAGTAGCCTATTATTGTAACGTTGCAGTGGGAGTTAACATGAGTTTCCAGCATGTTGTGTGATGCTTTCGCCGTTGCATTGATACTCGCTCTTGAGATCGCACACGCACACGAGCCCTCTTGTTGCAATCTGAAACATCACCGCTAGAGGCCGCTAAAAAATACATTGAGCACCTTTAATAATAGTATCTTTGACTTCTTACAACTGAAAATACCTAAAAACAGTTTAGACTATTTGTTAGAAATAGTTCAAAATAAAAATAAATCAAAAATTAGACAAAGACCCCCCAGTGATAGATAGATAGATAGATAGATAGATAGATAGATAGATAGATAGATAGATAGATAGATAGATAGATAGATAGATAGATAGATAGATAGATAGATAGATAGATAGATAGATGTGTGTACCATTTAAATGCTCGATTGACCATTTCCCCTTAGTTCCTTCTGGGACAACATTGAAGGTGAATGGAACTCCATTGGGTGGTGCATCCTCATCCACTGCAGTGACTAAGACCGCGTCCTGGTCAGTACAAAGTGTCTTGACTTTGCTTGTCAAAGTAGGGCAGTGGTCATTCAAATCCTCTACCTGGAAGGCAACGGTGCCCGTTGCCGTCTTAGAAGGCAAGTCTATAAGAGACCAGAAAATACATATTTTTAAAAACAATTATATTTTATATCCGCAATTTTATATAAACATTATAAAACTATCATAAATAATAATAAAAACAAATAAATAACTGTTTTCGAGAAAGAACAACTGTTGTCTGTTTTTAAAAAAGGACAAAAGAAATTAAAAAGAAAGAAAAATATAGCAAAAAATAAGAGAATAAATTGCTACATTAAATGAAATATAAAGTAATGTTAATTGGTATTTTACAATATAACTTGCAGATGGTTACAGTACTTCCAAACATCACTGACTCAAGTAACTACTGTTGATAAATGTGGAGATGCCGCCATCTTCAGGACATGTTATGTATCTGCAATATCATGTGGTCATTGTATTAAACAATATGCCACACTGGAAGTTATTGAAGTATACTTTCATATATTTTTGCAACATCTGGCAACAGTTCAAAAATACTTTTAGAACAGCTGGCAAATCCACATCCTTATAAAACAACAAAGATTTAAAAGTTGTCTCTTTTCCCTGGAACTTGCCTTGAGTTACGCTGTAAATGGTGGCGTAGTAGGTGCCGTTAACTAGATACTTGGACTCGCGGTCAGGAGCCTTGTTCAGACGAATGGCCCCTGTTGTCTCATCGATTCTCAGCCAGTTATCTGGGTCAGATGCTTTAATATACCTATAGGAAAAGTGAACATAGTTCAGGCTCATTTATCATTGATTTAAATGCTGTTTTCTCTTCATTTTTGATAAAAACTGTTCTGATGTAAACGTACTTTACGTTGGTAGCTTCCTTTCCTGTGTCTGTATCAATAGCCGGGTACCTCGTGATGATGTCATTGCTGTTAAAAGTCTTGCCTTCTGATATGGGGACTGCTTTTGTTTGGGGCACAAACTTGGGTCCTTCCGGCTGGTTTTTCACATTTACCTTCACGTTGTAGAGCGGACCGCCTGTGGATGACCATGAACTGCTCCCTCCGCTGCCACCACTACTGCTCCAGCTGCCACCACCTCCACCTCCACCTCCACCTCCACCTCCACCTCCTCCTCCTCCTCCACCACCTTCTCCACCTCCTCCTCCTGCACCTGCACCGCTGCCCCCAAAGTTGATATTTATTCCTTGTTGTGCTCCAGCTACAGACGGGTGGAATGGAGCTTTGTTGACTACACCGATGCCAAGGTTCAGGTCTTTGACGTCCTCATAATCAACAGCCTGCAGGGAAAATGGACATAATATTCTTTCTTCAGGCAAAGGGCTGAGAGTATAATCTGCTTTAGAACTGTCCAATGCTAGCGTGTACGAGTTAGCATGCAAGAATGCGAGCTTGCTGGAAATTAAGTGCTAAATAACTAGCAATGTTAAAAGTACCAGTACTTTTAAAGTAGTTAACGATACTAGTATTTCTTCTGTATTGATAATACCAAATACTGACTCAATGTCTGACTATTTTCTAATCTTGTGTAAAATGTTCATCTTTGCCATGTATTAATGTAAACAGTAGATTATGTTTCTACATTCATATTTTATGTGAATGGTTATATAATCCTTTTTGGAAAAAAAAAAACCCAGAGTACACTACTATTCAAAAGTCTGGGATCAGTAATATATTTTTGAAAGAAGTTTATGCTTTTATTCAGCAAGGACGCACGCATAATTGATCAAAAGTAACATTTATAAATGTTACAAAAGATGAATATTTTAAATAAATGCTGCTCTTTTGAACTGTCTTTCATTAAATAATCCTGAAAAAAATACGATTTCCACATAAATATTAATCAGCACAACTGTTTTCAACATGGGTAATAATAAGAAATGTTTCTTGAGCAGTAAATCAGCTTATTAGGATGAATTCTGAAGAGCCATGTGACACCGAAGACTGGAGTAATGATGCTGACAATTTAGCTTTGCATCACAGGAATAAATTACATTACAAAACACTTATTTTAAATTGTAATAATATTTCACAATATTACAGTTTTTTTTAATGTATTTTTAAATGCAGCCCTGATGAGACTTAATAAAACATAAAAAAATCGTACTGACCCAAAAGGTTAATCGTAGTGTATGTCTAAATTTTGGATCTGTGTATCGGGTCTTGCAGTGTAAATGCAGCCTGATGTCTATTATGTCAATATTATCAATTAAACAACAATAGTGAAACGAAAAAGAGAAACTGGCCTTACTTTATTTTTTACTGTTTACTTGAATAATGGCTTGAAATAGTTACTTTTTTACTGAATTTTGTTGTTTCAATTTGTTAATATTCTGTTTTTAATGTGGTATTGAAATTGGCATTGAGAAGTATCAGAAATACTGACATTTTGGTATCATGACAAACCTACTAGAAAAAGGAAGAGAAAACAGAAGAAGGAAGAAAAAAACCATTGCACACCTTGTCAAGAATCAGGATTGCCTCATTGGTCTTTGGGTCCATTTTAATGCTGAAGTATCCAGCCTCATTGCCTGATGCAATAAAGCAATTGGCTGTCCAGTTGTCTGTGTTCTCGAGATCCAGGTCTTTTGCTTTGAATCTCATCACCTCCACATTCTCTGTATTTTCCTCGATACTTCCCTCAAACTATGGAGAGTGAAAAAAACCTAAGTTGCAAGCACCACAACAACATACTTAAACCTTGTGGATGTTAACAACGTTTAGATATTTTCTTACTGGGCCCTCCAATGTAGGCACATTATCATTGACGTCGTTGATCTTGATGGTGACCGTCCCTGTGACAGCATTGCCGCCTGAGGCACCATTCAGATCAGATGCTCTGATAAGCAGGACATACTGATCAATAGTCTGAAGAGAGAGACAGTATGTAAATAAACAGGTGGAATCATTACAATACTGCTCAACAAAACCAGTCTTTGTTGTCTTTGTTCCTGCATTCATCATTTAAAAATGGAAACATTATAACAGGCCACGTGGGGTGGAACATCTGGCACTGACAAGAAGCTCATAACTGCTGTCAATGAAGAACACATGGAGCCTGTGTGTTACATCATGTGACATGTTGGATATCATACACATTCAATACAGTGATTGTGACCACTCACCTCTCGATCCAGGTTAGCATTGTTAACGCGGATTATCCCGTCATCGTCAACTCTGAACATTCTCTGCCCATCTGGTTGCTGCTCAACAATTTCATACTTGATTTGAGAGTTTATGTTTCCTGGCTCATCAGCATCAAAGCAATTGATCTTCATCACGGCTGTATCTGTGTCCAAGATCAATAAAAAGGAAATACCTTTTAGTTTAAAGCACGAGGCAGGTTCTTAGAAATGTGCTCTTTGTATTCATTTTGGTTTCATAGGGTTTTAATACTGTACAAACCTCATGTAGTCAAAAAAAAAAGAACAAAATGTATTTTAAAAAGGGAAATAATAATTGTAATTTTCTCATGAAAAAAATGATATAACTATATAATTTAACAAATATCTTAAAATATTTTTTCATAAATATCATTACTTTTTTGGGGAGTTGCACCACATGACATTTTACAACCTGAATAAACCTTATATTAACAAGCAGTGAAGCCTTTTTGTTTTTCTATGGACTTAAAATTAATTACAATAAATAAACGAAAATCCCTTTATGAATAAATTGCATTTTAAATAGAGTTATTGACCCCCTTGCAGAGTTTGATAATTATTATAACCAGTGTTTGAAATTAATTCAGAACTTCTAGTAGTCAAAACAACATGATCAGAGATAAACCAGATTATCAATGTCACAGATTTAAATATAGCCTGTTTATTATTAAATCGGATTCTGAATCATTGTATTGCTTTCAGCTTCATGACAGTCAATCACTGTTCGCGTATATAAAAAAAAAAAAATAGAACACAGAAGACAGAACTCTCTGTGACTTCTTTTATAATTGCCTTGAGTTTACCTGCACGTATATCTATAAAGACGCTAGGGCGCTATTTTCCCAAAAGTCTTGAACATGCGGCAATAATGAGAACGGGTTAGAAAAAGTCTCCTCCGTGCCATGGACATCTCGCTAGATGGCGAGTGTTGCCGTCGGTATGCATATGGCCAAAGAAAACAATGTGTTCGACTTTTAAAGACTTGGCACTGTGCTGCGTTTCCCTCTTGAAACGTTGTTTTGCACATTTTTGAGGATCCTTTGAGGGGAAGGGCTCGGATAGCGATGCCATGCAAAGTGATAACATAATTTATTAACCATAACCCGTCCAATTGGCTAGTGTGTTGATATGCATTACCGACCACGGTGGATTTGAATGTCAAACCCTGATCATAATCACTGTTATGTTTATTGTATAAATAAAGTCACATTTCTTTTCAGCTGGAACAACTGCAGGCCACATACCTAATGCACTGAGTTCGTATACACCCCCTGCAGTCATCGGACTAAAAACAGGAGCATTGTCGTTCTGATCCTTCACTTTTATCCGTAGCCCAATGTCATTCTCTGCAATTGTGCCATTTGTGAACGTAGCAACCCCTGAAAGCTGTGGAGGTGAAGACATGCATTTCAAGATCACTAACTCTTATCAATAAGAACAGGTATTAAAGTCAACTTTATCATCATCAATCACCATTGTCATCATGGTCATTTCACTTACATTGTATTGTGCAATGGACTCTCTGTCGAGGATTCCCGTTATTCTTACTAATCCTGTTTCAGGATTCACCACAAATAAATTGAACGGATCCTTGTCTGCGCCGACGCCCTTTAGTGTGTACCTCAAATTTTTTATTTGGGGCTCTTCCTTGTCTGAGCGAATCTAAATAAATTAGAAATGCATCTTTTAAAAAAAACAACAAAAAAACAACCATGCCCACAGTGCACTGACACCTTGAAATGAAGCATTGCAAATATCAAATGCGTAAGATATTGTTGCAATGTATATCACACATGTGATGTGGTGACTTTATTGTTGTAATCTTGGCTTTATTTCTCACACAATAGTCATTTCTTAAATTTGTGATGTCATTTATTATCATTTGGACATTACATCTCACAAATAATGATACTGCAGGCATCCATTTTATTAGCGGCTAAAATTGTAATTCTCTGTGTAATTTGTATGCATAACATACAATGAGAAGATATCTTATTTTTCACTTGGTGACCAATTCTTGGTGCCTTGTGATTTATTTCTTTACAATAAGATCCCATTAGTTGTAAATGCATTAACTAAAAATGAGCAAAACATTTGACGTTAGTTAAAAAAAATGCAATTGTTCATTGTTAGTTAGCTCAGGTACATTCAATAATACAGTAAGGTTCCATTCGTTAATGCATTTACAAACATTAAATTACAATGAGCTTTCACTTGTTACAGTGTTTATTCATCTTTGTTCACGTTAGTTAGTTCATAAAAATACAACTGTACATTATTTGTTCATGTTAGCTCAGGGCCATTAAATAATATTAACATAACTTAAAAATTTCATAATGTATTGGAATTAACTAAGATTCATAAATGCTTTAGAAGTATTTTCCATTGTTATGTTAACTAATTAATTAACTAATGTTAACAAATGAAACCTTATTGTAAATTGTTACCAAAAAGACACAGTTTTTGATTAAATAATGTTTTAGTAATTGCTGATATTAACATTAACTAAGATTAACAAATTATTTAGAAGTATTCTTCATTGTTAGCACATAATGTTAACAAATGGAGCATTTTCTTTGCTTGCACGTCGATTATACAGTAATGTTTACGCAAGCATATGACAGCAGGCAAAGGCTCACTCACTTTTGCAATGAAATCTTTCTTGGTGTAATCAACATTCTCTTCTAGGATTTGGGGAGGGACGATCCATTCTCTCTTCTGCCTGTGGAGGGCCGCAGAGTGTTGGAATCTGGCTTCAGCCTCAAACACATACTGCGGGAAAACACAAATATTTGTTACCCTTCCTGGTAAGAACGATCTCATTCGAAGGATTTGTAAATGATTGATTACAAATGCGTCGTCATAAATGACCGAAACTCTGTTGTCGCAACTTGCATTGCATAGTTGGACACTAAGGTCATCCAGTCTGTGCACAGGAACAATCAACAACAAGATAATTGACATGAAATATTATGCACATAAGACATTACTTCAACCCACCTCAGTAGACTTCTAATTAAGAAAGATAAGATGAAGAAAAACTTGGCAAAACCAAATGCATTCCATTTAATTCAAGATCACCATCAGACCACACACAACTAAGATAAAGCATGTGCACACAAATTTCAATTAATATTTTGATACAATGCACTATTCCGTACATACGTGTTTTTAGATTGTACTTGTATTATGAGACCAAATACAAACACAAATATCATTGTGACCAAAAACCCACAATCCTATCCCTGTTACTCTCACAAATATAAGATGTCATGTCTTACTAAGGGGTTTTCTTTCATTTCACTGTGTTTGTCTGCATGGCAAAGATTCAATAGTTACTACTACAAGTGTTTATTGTGAAACATGGAGACACCACATTTTGTGTTGTTAAAGTTGTTAAACATAGAAGCAAGGCATTTATAATCATATGAATGAGTAGAACCTTTAAATTTGCTACATGAATACAAGGTGCAAAACACTACAATAAACAGTATGCTTTTGCGTTTTGTGATTTTAACCCAAGAGAAGCGCTTTCTCTCTCTCTCGCACAACACAACACGTCAAATGTATGACACATGTACGGCATAAACAGACATCACATACGCAAATTATTAAAAACAAAACCCTAAACAATCAAGACTTTGTGCTCTGTTTCATATACAGTATACCCAGGGCTGGAAATGGATAAGATTCACTAGGGGGACTCAGTTTTTTTTTTATGATACTGGATGAATCAGCGTTTTTGAACAAATCTTTTGAATTAATGATTTAATGACATGTAGCCTACATTTTTTAACAGTCACTTATCTCCACTTACTGGTGTAACAATGTAATGATACAATCTTTATTTGAAGCATCAAGTTACTTTCAAAAGGTGATTTACTCTATTTTGTTATTTGCTATTTTGAACTGGTTGTCTCCCTCGGTTGCAAGGCTGTAGTTTGGGTTTGAACATTGGGGGGTTCAAGTGTGAACCGTTTTACGGGGTACCAGGAAATGCTCCCTCGTGAGGTTTATTTATTTGTTGTTGTTGTTTTTTTGCTTTATTTTTGCAAAATGGCCCACACATCATGCAAAGTTGGTTGATAACAATCACTTGTTTACAAAGTGGAAGTCAAACTATCATTGCTTAACATTTTCTTATACTGAACATGTTAGTCATTAATTGGATTATCTTTTATTTTCTCAGGCATATTAGCAGAAAACATTTTACACATGAGGAAAACCAATTGTTTAGTCAATAGTTCAAGAAGGTCCATACTTTAAAGCTCTTGATAGCCTACTTGGCCTCATGAAAAAGTAGTTATTGTTTAATATAGCATTTGTAACAACAAGGATATATAATTACAGCAGGTAGTCGAGGTAGACCATTGACGGCTCACATTTGAACTTTTTCTTTCTTTTTTAAAAAGTCTATTCCCACATAGGCTATTATTTATTATAACTTCTACAACAAGTTAGTTCAAATGTAGCCTACCACAATAAATACAATAGAACTTGATAAATTATAGTAAAGGTGGTCATGAGAAGTTTAAAAAGCGTCTTTTTAGTGGCTGTTTTTAGATCATGTTTGATTTTCTCCACAGCGTTTAATATACATTCTCAATAGAATTCAAATGGGTTGTACACATTTTATCAACGGCTCGCGCAAATCTTCTCACACTTCTGGAACGCGCCAACGGAGATTCGCGCGCCACTCATACTTAGGCCTATGTTATAAAGGCTACGTTTGCGCGATATTATACAATTAATTAATAGTCTGATTTTATGTTTCGGTCGGAGTACCGGCAACATGCGAGAAGTTCCGGCATGCAAGAAAAAGTGCGGATAGCTTAAAATATAGAAGTGCCGGTACTGAGATACCGGTGCGTTCCGGCCCACTTTAAACACTGAGTAGTCTAATATCGCGTGGGTGTTTGGAACCAGATCGCGATATTTTAATGATTAATTATGCAATTTAATTGCGCTATGTTTTTGTGCTGAATTCGTATCGCTTTTGTAGTCTATTGAGAGAATAACATATAGAAATCCCTTCATTTCCCTAATTAAAAAACAACAACAACATGAACTGGAACGTCGTCCCCCCTCGGAATTCACTCCCATTCCTTCACCGAGATCAAGTGTAAAACATTCTAGATATAATATTTTTTTTATAGAATGCACTCATTTAGTCATCATTTTACTCAACTGTTGTTCAGTGAAATGAACTTCATAACAATTTCAGTAAATCTTATTGAGAAATTACAAAACATTAAGGTGCCAGAGGGAGGGAATTTCAACACTCCTGAAATTGAAAGGGCAAACTATCCAATACATATACAGATCCAGCTTGACTAGTCTGTCTGTCTCTATAGCCTACCAGACAGAGCCTGTTCTGAAATGCCATTTACAAAAATACACCATGGTAAATAGTGGAGGTTTCCGTCATTTAAGTTTCCAGCTAAACACTACAGTTGCCATTATGGTCATAATGTAAAACCATAATAAGTCAGTTGGGGATCTCCACAACAATGTTGACAAATCTAAATCTCTCTTATTTTATTAAAAATGTAGGCTATTTACTGATTGACACTTACGACATGTCACAAAAAAATCAAAACACTTAATAAACTTAAGTTTAATAATAATAAAGTTTAATTTAATAAACTTAAATTGTTGCCTTAGTTTATTGCCTAAAATCAAAGTTAACTTTATTTTATTGACAGCTTTGAATATAGCCTACCACTTAGGCCCATGAAAATAGTTGTTATGAGTGTAACTGTTTTTACAGTGCCATTTTTTTTTTTTTTTTTTTTTTTTACATTTAGTTGCCATGGTGAATTTCTGTAAAGGAGTGGACAATTGAGTCGATTCCCCTCCGGCATTTTAAGAGTTAAAAGAGAGACACGAGCTCAATATGTGACTTTTTCACATTAACTTTATGAACATAATTGTGGTTGCTTTACATATCGAAGGTATCAAGGTGTAGCCTACTAAACAAACAAGCTACCAAACAAATAGCCTGTTTCAGTATTATGAGAGACGCATAGCCTACGATTGCTTCGGTTTACAAAACGACACTTTCCAAATAGAGAAAGACTAAAGTTGAGTAGGATAGCCTCTGTTAACGTGCTTATCTGTTGCTAGATATGTAAAACACGACAAACTTACCGATAATCCAAAACAAAAGAGAAAAGCGACAGCAGGCGATATACGCCGGGCCATGGCAGGAGGAACACACGGTATTTCCTGATCACCTGAGATCCACTGCTGACAGCAGCGCTTATGGGAAAGTTTTAATATATCCCGCTGAGGCAGATGTGCGTCCCGATGCTGCTTGATGAACGAGAGTGTGAATGAGGTCGATCCGAGGCGCTTTAGATAAAATCCTTATTCAATCTTTCTCCCACACCCTCACCTTGCGGTTTAAAAGGAGGACCTAACGTCACAACGATGGGTGTTGTGTGTGTGTGTGTGTGTGTGTGAATATGAGAGACAGAGAGAGAGAGATGGGCGGGAATATATCATTTTCACAAGTATTTGACATTGATCATAAAGGGTGGTTCTCTTCCAGAGAAATATTAAAACATCTACAAGACCCATCCTTAACTCTTCATGCAGTGTCCTATGAGTAACATCACATGGAAAATTAATATTAGCTATTTGAATTGTGAATCTTGAGCTAAATTAATGCATTTTAATATATGTTGGAACTTGGAATATAGGCCTTTAAAAAGTAGATTGACAGTGTTATAGTCCATGATGAAAAGTGAATCCGACGCTTATTTCTATACATTTTTTTTCCCAGTAAGTTTTCGGTAATTAGTTGTTTTCTGTACTGAATCATGGTAAAAGTCAGGGTTGACTATTTCATGTAACTACTGACAAACATAAACAAACAATATAAAATACAGTAATAAAATAGTAGAAATGTAGGCTACACTGTAAAAAATTACAGTAGAAAATACAGTAAGAAATTAAGAAATTACAGTATTACTGGCAGGTGCTTGCCAGTAACTTACTGTAGTTTTAAATTGATGTATATTTACTGGCAACAGTTTGTTCAAAGTTAAATGAACATTAAACATTAACAAGTCTTTATCTTTACAGAATAAAACTAAAATAACAGCCTCATACAAAGCAGAAAAACAGAAAAAGGTTGATGAAGATTTCTGGTTCCCAGAATGCTTTGCATTAGATTGTTATTTTATAATTTTATTCTGTAAAGACAAAGACTTGTTAATGTTTAATGTTCATTTAACTTTGAACAAACTGTTGCCAGTAAATATACATCAATTTAAATCTACAGTAAGTTACTGGCAAACAGCTGCATAACTACAGCAATTTTTTTTACAGTGTACTTGTTTTGAGGAGTTCAAAACTCCTCAAAACTTAAACATCCAAATTGTTTTTTAGAAAATGACTGACAATTTTGAAAATTTGTATTTATTTATTTCATTTATGTATATATATATATATATATATATATATATATATATATACATACATATTACCAATGTAAAACAAGTTGCTGCCTTAAATTTTCAAGTACAATCAACTTGGATGTTTAAGTCATTTCAACTTAAATGACACTAAACTGACTTAAAAATTAGCTCAATCTTGTATAACTTATGAAATTGCTCAACTTATTTTGATGAAAGCAATGTAAAAACATATATGCTAATATGCCTTTATAAATACACATACATCACTATTAAAGTTGGCGCATACAGTATGTTCATGACGCAAAAGGCATGCTTTTGCAAATGACCCATTAACAGTCATTTTTAATGTTATGTTGTATATCTCACGTGGATGTTTTGACATCAGCAGTTTTATGCTATTTAATTGAAATAATACATCCCTAATAATTCTGAGATCACTCATTCTTAAATCACAAATAACCGATCATTTCGCAGGATGTGGTTCTTATGAAAAGCCAGGAATTAACTTCATTAAAGATCAGAAGCCGTATTCTTTGAGGTGTTCTTCATTAGTAATCACACCTGAACTCACACCTTAGCATGTGCTTATTAAAAGTTGGTCATAAATGTGTGAAACGAAACGTGTCTGAAGGTTTGCCCTACTACGCAACTAAACAGCAAATCGTTTTCTATTGAACTACATGGAATTGTACAAAGAATTATTTCTGAAAAATAGTTTGATTATGCACTCTAAAAAATGCTGGGTTGTTTAAGCCCAACTTTGGTTCAAATATGGACAAACCCAGCTGTTGGGTTAAATTTTTACATTACATTTTTAACCCAAACATTTGGGTTTGTCCATATTTGACCCAAAATTGGGTTAAACAACCCAGCATTTTTTAGAGTGTGTTTTATTTGGCTGTTAAAGCTAATGCACTTCAGTGGAAAAGAGAGGGCTTTTTGGGAAATGGCGAAGTTATGGCATGCCTGCTTGCTTTAAGGAGGTGTAGGAACAGACCGGGAAAAGAAAGAAGTGATTGGGCGAGACAACTTTACCTGTTTATTCTTTCTTTCTGCCAATCGGTCTCTCACTTACTCACTCCCTCTCTTACTTAACTGATCGCTTTGCTGACTTTGTCTCAATTCGAAAAATACAATGAAACAAATTTCAAATCATCATGTCATGAAGTATCAAATTTAGAATTCAGATTGTTTTTAGAGATGTTAAAAGGGCCCGGGAGAGAGGGATATGTGAAGATTAAGGATTTGCAGGGGCCCTGCCGAGAGGGTCTGAATACCAAGTCTTTGCCATTTGCACACATTTAGAGAATATCCTGAATGTGACTTCCATTCAGATGAAGCCTGCACTGTCTGAGCCGTCATAAATCTGCTTTACAAAGACGCTCAAAGAGAGAGAAGAAAAGAGAAAGAGGGATTCCATGACATTTTACCGCAGGTCAAACACTAGACATGTATCAGAAATGAACATTAATTGGAAAAATAGAAATAGTAATGGCTACACCAACTTTGTGAACATTTACATCGATCTATGGGTTATGTAGCAAAATAATTATCAGCCAAATAATCAAAACAAAAAAATAACATTAATGTTTTCCAGTAAAAAAAAAAGAAGAAGAAAAAAAATATCCTCAAAACAAGACATTTACTTGAGAAGTAAAGTTTTTAGAGAATACATCCAGAATTATTTTTTGTGTTTTAAGCTCAAATCTAACATAATTTACCGGAAGTTTAAACTTAAAACAGCAGTTTGCCACTGCGGTAATAGAGAATTCAAGATAAATTCTCAGGAACAAGTCTTTTGTTTCAATTGTTTTCTGGTCTGATGTTCTTCTTGATGGAGTACAGAAAACCAGTCCTGCTGGAAACTCCCTTGAGTTTGGATGATAAACAGTAACAGGTCTGTATCTGTAGACGGTTGCATGCACATGCTTGTCACCTGTGCACAATGATTGTATGACTCATGGTGAAATCAGTGAGAGCCATTGGGAGTGCCAGGCTGGCTTACACAGGGTGTGTTTGTGGGAAGGGTTGTGATCGCTCAGCAGACAACGCCTAGTTTTCAGCGCTCCAGCCGCCTAACCTTTAGGATGCTCTCATACTCGTCATATACTCATGTGCAGTGCTGAGATGTTATATCCGTGCACTCATTGTTAATTTGCGGTTGTGGAGAGAGACACATATATTTCACACCCCACATATGGATGTGGCCTAAATATGGTCCCAGCACTAGAAGAGGACTGTTCAAGGGTTTGTTTTGGTGTAGTCCAGGATAAAATTAGAGTAGAGGTTAAGATTATGATTAAGTGTGGTACTAAGGTAAGGAAAAGCTTTGGGGTGTGTGAACATTATGCAGATACATTTGTAAGGGTTAGGTTAGGTTAAGGGGTGGGTTTCAAGTTCCCCAAATCTCTACCAGTAATTATTCATAGAAGAGGGTGAAGCATTAACTATTTTAGTCTTTCTTCTTCAATATGGAGAGGTTTTGGTTAGCTTAAATTGTTGCAAGACAGTTTAATGTTGTTTACTTTTACTGTAAGAACAGTGAGGATTTCCACAGGCCGGGTTATGCAATATTCAGAATTGAAGAATTAGATCCATTTTCATTTACACTGTAAAAAAAAATATATGATCAATAAGTTGACAACTTATGTTTTTAAATTGCTTTAACTCTTAAAAAAAGTTACTTTACTCAAAATTTCAACTCAAGTTATACAAGGTTCAACTCATTTTTGAATTCAGTTTAATGTAATTTAAGTTTAAATGACTTAAACATCCAAGTTGATTGTACTTAAAAATGTAAGACAAGATGTAATGATTTTGAACCATTTGAAAATTTGAAATTTGGGAGAGGAATTTATTGAATTCTAATTCAAAGAAATTCAACACAGTGGTAAATTAACTGTTCTGGACCACAAAAGTCATTTTATTAAAAATAATTCTATACTCCAATTGTTTTAAACATTTAAAAAAAAAATGAAACATGTACAAAGTTGCTTGCAATAAAAATAACAGCTATTTATTTAGTTCATTTTAATTTGTGTGATTTTTAATGAAAATGTACAATAATAAAAAAAAAGTAAGTATGAATTTTCACCCCCAAATTTACGAATGAGATTTTAAATTTAGCCACCAATTTGGCAAATGTTAATGAAATTGTGTTAACATCCATCCCTAAATTTGAGTTGCATTCTGAAATAAAACTTTCTTTCTTATTTTTTTCCTTCTTCTTCTTCTTCTTTTACCTCAAATTCAATTCAAATTCAGGAAATTGAAATGGCTTTCTCAATTTACTGTACAATCCTGTTCCACACATAGGTTAGTGCCACCTGTTGGTGCTAATAAACACTCACATTCAATGCACAACAAATCCAATAAAGATCATGTTCTTCCTTGGTAATGAATTTTTTATTTATCTGTTCAATTTTAAATAGATACTCTATACTGCCTCTTCATCAAAGATTGGCATGCAGTAAAGTTGTGGACTTGTTTTTGTGTGCAAGATTTTTGTTAACTTTTGTTTTACTGCGTAACGGTGTTGTGACTTTAAAACAGAAAAAAAAAGAAGAAATAAAATACATTAAAAGTTGATCAATTAAGGGAGCCGTGCACAATCTCCGTGCAGACTGTGAAAGTTTGTCTGGGTGTTTGTGGATGATCATTTGGCCTTTGACACGCCCTTGCATTTCTCATGCATTCCTGCGACTCTTTTTTTCCCCTTCTCTCTTTTCAACACATCATTAGTTTCTTTCTCTTTGTCTCGCTCTGTCACTTCCGCTCCCAAGTGTTCTCGTGGTTAGTCTCACAACAGCATTCTGTTAATTCATATTTCCAAAAGTTTAGAATGCTACAGTTCCCAGTCTCCCACAATCCCCATTCCCCTTTCTCTTCCTCCCTCTTTCCTCTCTTGTATGAGTGCAATCTTTTCTTTTACCTTCTTCTATCTCTTTGTGTCGCTTTAAGAGCACTGTCAAAAGAAAACAGCTCCATGGCAA